TTGAAACGGGGCGACAAGCATTAAAGTCATATTAACTTTCCATTAAACATCAGCTCACTCCGTGTGTGTGTGTCTCACACAGAAACACAAGGCTGCTGTGTGTGTGTGTGTGTGTGTGTGTGCACCTGTTTCACCAGCCTTCAGAGCTTCAGAACAACGCTCTGTGAGTGACGCTCTGTAAAATTGCACATTTGGACTCACAGTATTTGTGTCATTGTTTAATAATCTGTGTGTTGCAACAGAAACACACAATGAGCTCTTCAACAAAAACAAATAAAAACTGCGATTTTTGGATGGGTTTCTGTGCAAAAACATCACGAAAGGAACAAAGTTCAGGGTTAGAGTTGGTGTTGAGGGTTGAAAGGCAGAGAAGACCAGTCAGCTGATTCCTAAAACTGGTTAAAACATTCAATAACTTAAAGGGATCAAAATCCAAATGTTGAATTTCCTCTAGAATACAGTGACATTGATCTAACCATAACATTGATTTATGCTCAAACTAAATAAAATTTTAGTTTTACTCATAATGTTTCAGGTCCCTATGAAACGGAGCACACTCATTGAATGCTAGGTTAAAAATCAAAACGGACTGAGGATTCATCCCTGAGGTGCTCCACAACGCAGCTGAGTGACTGAGTGCATATGAAGAGTAACAGTAAAGGTTAAAATAATCTGCCTGACTTTAACAAACATGAGCTGTGTTGTAAATTCTGAAAGCTGTTAAAAACTCTGTTTTCAAGCTTAAATGAGTTCAGACTGGTAAGTAAAATAACTGTTGGGTGCATTCTTCTGATTCCAAACAACACATAATACTTTATTTTTTACAACAAAGGTAAGTTTAATTAGCCTATCTGTAAAGCAGGTGGTTTAGTAAAACAGGTTTTTTTCCTACAGAGATGTTGCTTCCATCTAAAATGTCTGAAGCACAATCACTGAACAGTTACAAACTTCGTTCCATATAAATTGCGATTTTTCTCTCTTTCCGTTGCTGCGCGTGAAGCGAGCAGCCGAATCTTTTGCCTCTTAAGATGAACATCTCAGGATGAAATTCTCCGCTGGCAGCGAGCAGGCCCATGAATTTTCATCAAGCTCTGTGAGAGTGTGAGAACGTCCTCGCCGTTTTGAATCCGTACAATAAAAGTAAAACTTGACCGAAGCGATTAGCCCGTGTCGCTGACAAATATGAGAAATGGCTCGCCTCGCTGTGCCCAGCGCAGCCTGGGGATGCTTGTGGCTCAGAGCACGCTCGTTGAATGCTCATTAGTTGAAGATTGGTCATGGGAGCTCAGAGCGCCACATCGCTGTGCTAACAATCTTCCCCTTTATGAGAGCTTCCATTCTTCCATTCACGGCCCATTCTGCTCTAATCGTATTGGAGTCTGGTACCGTTCTGCGGCCCTTCAGCAGGAGGCTTAAAGCACCTGGCAGGTTGTTTAGAGGGAAGCTTGTAAATGCCTGTGGTTAAAATGGGCTCCAGCACAAGCCAAGCACTGCCGGGGAAACGGGGAGGGGGAGCGATGCGGTTGTCAAGTCCAGTTTGTGTTCTGGGTTTTGTCAGGGGAGCGGGGACACAAAGTGACCGAGCGGACCTGTTGCTTCGACGCTCAGAACCAGAGGGCCCATCATGCAGCACAAAACAGGTTCAGGGTGATGCTTTGCTGAAGAACTCAACAGAAATCCCACTGGAAGTTAGTTTCACAACGTCTTCATTTAGTCACACAGACCCTGAACACGTTTCAGCGCTGAACTTTCACTAACGCTGACGTAGCTTCTGATCAGGGTGTGTCATTGAACCCCAGCTCCATCTTCTCTCACTTATCTGTGGTCGGGTCACAGAAGCAACAGGTCCAGGAGAGAAACCCAAACCTCCTGCTCTCCAGATCCTCATGGGGGACCCTGAGGTGTTCCCAGACCTGAGAGGATCTAATCCCTCCACAAACTTCTGGGTCTGCTCCCTAGTGGGTTGTGCCCAGAAAACCCTCAAAGGGAGGCGTCCTGATCAGATGAACCTCCTCAAATGACTCTAGAGGAGCAGCAGCTCTGAGCTCCCCCCAGATGTTGGAGCTCCTCACCCTCTCTCTAAGGCTGACCCCCCACCCTACGAAGGAGGTTAATTTCAGCTGCAAACCTCCTGACCACAGGTGAGGGTTGAAACACAAACAGACCAGTAAATCCAGGGCTTTGCCTTTCAACTCAAAATTTTCTCCACCACCACGACCGCAGCAACATCCTTATTACTGAGGATGAGTCCCTGACCTGGACTCTTCCACTGGAGGAGGAGGGCTCATTTAAGCCCACACTAAAACTTTTGCCAAGATTTTGTTCTTCCACTTGAAGAAAATCACAAAATAGAAACTTCTGGATAAACTGCTCCATGAAATTGATCCGTTCTCTTGTAATTCTTTATTATCTGGGTGTCCAAATCACTCCACCATATAACATCAAAGAGAGCACTTCACTTTCAGACTGCAGGTTTCCTTGTGGTTCCTAGAGTTTCTAACAGTATGTTAGGGAGGTAGAACTGTCAGTTCTCAGGTTCTTTCTGTCCGTGAGGCTAACACTCTGTCTACTTATAGGACTAATCTAAAGACTTTCCTTTTTGATGACAAACCCTGTCAGTAATTATCCCCTAATTATTGAAAAACTCATGACACATTCTGTCAGGGTGCAGATGTATATTTCCTGTTTCAGTGCTGCGCACACATTATTACATTAATGTGTGCTTGTTTCAGGCCCTTGGGGGATTTCAGAGCGGATTTAATTTTAGCCTGGAGGGATTTGAGGAGCCTGGGGAAGCACCTCGTCCAGAGGCCTGCTTTAAGCCGGGCTGACGGGTTGAGCTGAGGGGAAGAGGTCACAGACTCAGATCTCGCTGAGGGGAAGAGACCAGGGTTGGAGCGAGGCGTGAGGATGAATGCGGCTCGTCTTATTTCTGAGGCGAGCTGAATACAAGGACGCCAGCGCAGCGCTGCGTGGCCAGCAGGTATTGAGGCGGGCCACGCCGCATAATTGGATTGAATGCTGGCCACGGTATTTATGTCACTTCTCGTCTTGTCAATCCCATAACAGGCATGGCAGCGGCGTGGGGAGCTCCCATGGTGACGGGACTTTGCCTTATTCAGACAGGACAGGGAGAAAAGAGCCAAGCCTCATTAAATTCACGTTTAATTCTCACTCAAACCGTTTTAGGGCTGATGTTATTTGCATAACAGGCAAAAAGGACTCTGCCTTTTCAGTGGCCCTGTGAGCGTGAGGGGAACAGGAACAGTGTTGTAATTGAAAGTGTTTGCCGGGCTTATATATGCATACGCCGAGGGACAGGCGTTCTCACACGGATCAGCAGCGTACCGCCGTTTCTCCACTTTCAGAGCATCCCTGTGATGGCATTTCCACACAGCGTGGCACAGCTGTTAGACAAAGAACAAACACAAACCTGAAGGGCAGCGCTTCTGACGAAAACACGCAGCAAACAGACGAACAGCAACTGCTTGGAAGATCCCAGCAGAAGAAAAGCAGAAGCATTTGGACCTTGGATGAGAGAAATAATCTTCAGAGGAACAGGGAGTCCCACGAAGCAGAGGAGGGAGATTAGACCATCGAGGCGTCTGAGGTCCAACCCCCCCCAGAGACGACAAAAAAGGCTCAAAAACATAAACCGTCAAAACTTTTCTGTCAGAATCAGACGAGTTTCTGTCAACTTTAAGGCGCTGAAGGGTCAAAAAGGACCAAATCCATCATTAGAGCCTGAGAAACAACAAGATCTTCAGATCTTCAGTTATTAATGAGTTTATAATTTAAACGTGTTGAATTTAACTTTTCTAAAATTACAGCCGAGCACTCAGGTTAACTTTAATGATTGAGACAAACAACTGGTTTGAAAATACGTGGCCAGCAGCTGACAGAATAGTTTAAATCTGAAAATGTTCTCCTGCAGTTTATATTGAAGATATAAATAAAATCTTTGATTTTAGAAAAATATCAAATAAAGCTTTAACTCAAACTGTAGTTTAAAAAAAAAAAAAAAAAAGAATTCTGGTCACAAACACAAAAAAAATCCAAATTAAATTTTATTTGTATAAAAAATATATTGGTGTGACACGGTGGCTCAGTTGATAGAGCTGCTGCCTCTCAGTGAGAAGGTCACTAATTCAAATCCCGGCTGAGGACTTTTCTGTGTGGAGTTTGCATGCGTGGGTTTTCTCCAGGTGCTCCGGTTTCCTCCCACAGACTAAAAACATGCATGTTAGGCTGATTGGTAACTCTAAATTGTCTCTAGGTGTGAGTGAGAGAGTCAATGGTTGTTTGTCTCGTTTGTCTCTATGTGGCTCTGTGATGGACTGGAGACCTGTCCAGGGTGTCCCCCACCTCTCCAGTGACTGCTGGATATGGGCACCAGTGACCTCCATGATTCCCCCTGAAGGTCAGACCGTGCAGTGACACTACAGGTCTTTATCAGCCGGTCAAAGGTCAAAGGTCATGGCTTGTTTAGATATGTTGCAGGTGTAACATGAAGGACGTCGCGACCCCTGACTTCAAACCAGTTCATTTCATTTGGACCTGATTGTGTTTTTGGACCTTTCATGAAATCAGCTGTTGATTGATCACATGTTTTATTTCTTTACTCTGGCGCGACAAAAACTGAGTTAATTTATGAAATGAAGTTTGTTTCATTTGATATGAAATGTTTGAAATATGAATAATGTTCATTTACTGTTTGCCATTATTTTCTGATTGTGTTTTGCAGCTGTAACTTCAGTTGGGACAGAAGAGAACAGTTTCATCAACCGAGAGAACACCACGTTCTACCCCGTTAACTCCGGGGGGTCCTCGACCCCCGCGCTGTTTCAGTCCCTTCGTTTTGCTCTTAGACAAAGAAAAACAGGTTTGCTCAGAAATGTTACAGTTAATGTCAAGTAGAGAAAAAAATATTTGTGCTCAAGAGAATCAATCCAGCTCCTGCATGGCCTGACACCAGCTTCATCAGCCGAAGAACTCCAGACCTGCTTCAGCTGTGCCTCCATCCACCCGCAGAGTAACCGTCTGGACAGCGGTTGATCTCCAGGATCCCAACCACCTGTCAGCACTAACCAGGTAGACCAGGTAGACCAGGAACACCAGGTAGACCAGGGATCTCATGTACAAAGGGTGCATATGCACAAAAATGTGGCGTACGCTCTTTTTCACGCAAAACTTCAGATGTACGCGTGCAGCACCAGCTCCATGGCTGGTGTACGCATGTTTCTATGGTTAGTGGTCCATTGGTTAGAGGTGATGCTGGGAGACTGTTAATGATGAGAAAACTATTATTGTCCACACCAGACACACAGGATGAACAATTAATACATTCACATGAATGAAATTAGATGAGTGGATATGAAATCTGCAGAAAGTGGTGCAGAAAATATATTTAACAACAACAGCTTTAGCCTTATTAGAGGAGATAGCAAATAGTGAACTACACAGAGAGCATGTGTTTAGAGACAGAGAGGATTTTCTGGACCACAATGATGACTGGCCCATCAGACTGAGTCCGCTTCGGATCAGAACACCGCGCTGGAACGCCAGTTTTGTTCTGGTCCAAAGAAATACCAATGATGAGAGGCTGCACGGGAAGGAACAGGAAGTGACCTCATCCCGTCAGCAGGAAGTGGGTTTACCGATGATAAAGACCGTTTTCAGGTTGAAGATGCATCTGATCACAGAGTAAAGAAACAATCTTCTTCTCAACAAGACAAATGGTCCATAAGGAACCACACAGGAGCTGAAATCCAAACTGACTGGCATTGTTTGAGTCTGTTTCTGTTATTTGTCTTGAAATAAACTTTTATTGACTTCAGCTGGAAACTTCATGAAGTGAAGAGTTCTTCCTGTCTGCGGTGAACGAGCTCGGATCAGACAATCTAATCTGAGCATTGAAAGTCATCCCCTCGCTGCTTCTGGCTCTCTTTAAACCTGAACCCACCTCCGTGCCTCCCCACCCTGGACTTTCACAGCCAGGATTAATCCCGAGCTTCAACCTTTGATTTCAGCTTCTTCTCGGCCTCTTGATCCGGCCGTCTGCGCGAGCTTCAAGGAGCACCAGGCGTATAAAGTGACTAGTCAGCTTCCTGCTGCTTCCCTCTCCTTGTTCTTTGTTGGCTTTCGGCCCTTTAGCCCAGCTCCTTGCTCCCCTACACACACACACTGGTTATGATATGTCTGCACATGCGTCTGCGTGTGTGAGGTTTGATCTGGGTTCCTGCTGCAGCCCATTGTGTCTGGGCAGGAAACAGCTAATCCAGTCAGATCTGAGGCAGCCCAGGTTCTGCTGTCCGTATAATCTGACCCGCAGGAGCTTCGCGCTGGGAAACAGAAACCCGTCCATCCCGTGGTCAGCGGGTCGGTTCTGACCCGTCTGTCAGGAGTAGGATAAAGAAACTACAGTTTGAATGTCAAAGGACTTCAACTGATTTTGAGTCCTTTAGTTGCTGCCTTCAGGAGGTCCGGAGAGGTTAATTCATGTCAATTCCTACAGATCTGAAAAAATTTATTACGTTTTAAGAAGAAAACAACAAAATCATTCATTTGTTCAGGAAGCTCCTGTTTTACTGTTCAGTAAAAATGTTTTCACCCTGTAGCTCTTCAATCAGATTTAAAATAAAACAAATTAAACATCAAGGTGGTGCTGGGACGTTTGGTCCTGGATCTGGGTGAGAGGCCTCCTCTGAGGCCCCTTCAGCACCTGGACCTGGATTAGCTGCACTCATTCAGAAATCAAAGATTAACGATCAACTTTAGCTCCCATCAAGATTATTTTTCAATCAGGTTTTATTTTCCGTCCAGTCCGGTTCTGTCTTTAATCGGCGAATCAGAATAAAAAGTCAATCGAGATTAACGGTTGGTGGATTAAACGTGTTTCACATCAACCATTTTCAGAAAGCTCATTTAAAGGACCGTTCATAAAAAAAACACAACTTTTGTTACGAGCCGAGCTTCCAGAACTTCAGCATCATTCAGGGACCGATTGAGAAAAGGACGTTTTCATTTCCTCCTTCAAACAGCGAGCATGCACGGAGACACCAGATTATGTTGGTGGGACGCAGCGGGGGGCCATTCATGCTACTTCCTGTTTCAGCTGTAATGATTTGAGATGGACTGAAGTTAGCAGCCGAAGAGCTCGGGGCCAATAAAGAAGCAGCCAAAGGATTTCCACATTTCTTCCATATCAGGGCTCCTTTGAAAGCTTCGGCTCGGAGCTGAATGGGAGGTTTGACTGAAGTCATTCAATCACAGTCGGCCATATCTGTCATACATGACTGAGTGTGTGTGCATGTGTGTGTGCCGGGTGGGGGGTGTCAGAGTGGAGGAAACTGGGACGAGGTGGGCTCAGCCAGAACAAAAGGTCAGGAGTTAAAAAAGCAAGGAAATAAAAAGATTAACTTTTTTTAAAAATGACGGGAAAGTGGAAAACCCCAGAGGAGCCAAATATCAGCCGTGATATAAAGAAGGAGCTGAAACTGAGCTGTTAAAGCTAAAATAAGCAGAACACCAGCTAAAAGCTTAAAGACTAGCTAAAAACAATGTTGCAAAAGATTAGCTAAAGTTAAAAAGAGCAAATATCTAGTTAAGTACTAAAAGTAGCAAAAGGCTATTCTAACGTAGCGAAAGGCTAGCTAAAAGCTAAAATATGCAAAAGCTAAAGTAGCATAAAAAGGAAATGAAGAAATCTTTGTGCATTTCTATCATCTATAAATTATTAAAGTTATAAAACCCAAAATTCACAGCACGGACTGACGGAAAGAGCCGAATGTTTTGATTTATAAACAGCTAAAATAGCTGTTCTTAAATGTTGAACTGTAACATTTAAGAACAGCTCAGTTTGTTAAAAAAAATACAGAATAAGTGGCAATAATCTGATGTTGAAGTACTGCGACCAATCAGGAGCCAAGGCCCCCCCCCACCCACACACACACACACACACACACACACACGCACAGAGTTAAGGGCTGATTTCATGGGGCTCGGTCAGGTCTGAGCTCGGTGCTCTCAGGTCCAGGTGCTTCTTTGCTCCGTTAACTCCAGCAGAAAACTGATTTTCTAAACTTCATCTTGATTTGGTCTTTGATCTGGCAGAGCTAAAAGAGATTTTTTTTTAACTTGGTTTTAGTGGAAACATCAGAATAAAGTTGATAAAACAGTTTATTTTCTTTATTCTTTATCTTTATTATCAGAGTCGGGGTCTCAAACCACCAAACCTCCGTCTCCATGTGAGCTGGTCTCCCTACATCTCTAATCCCTGGACCTGAGTGAATATCATGACCCCCCCCCCCCCCACACACACACACACACACACACACACACATACACACACACACACTCTGCAGCACTTGGCCATATGTCCTCTGGAGCTGCTTTCTCCATCACTTCTTTCTCAGCCACCTCCGTCCCTCCTTTCAGGCCTTTTTGTCTGCAGATAATCGCCGCCTTTTCTCCTGCGAACAACAGAAAGGATGGAGAGCGATCCTACGTGATCAACGGCCTTCCTGCATCCTTATCTGCTGCTCTTCAGAGACTCCAGGTCTGAGCTAATCACGAGAGTTGTGTTAAACATTTGACCACATTCACAAAGTTTAATGGGCCACAGTTTTAGCTGTTAATCCGTCCATCTGCTGCCGTTTTTCTCACAAACATCTGAACAGTTTTCTACTAAACCCGACACGAGTGGCTGGGAGAACTTTCTTCAACTTAGAGCTTTTCGTTTGGACCAATCAGCTGTAGAGTCATTATTATTGTTATTAAAAGTTCAGACGTTCCTGATCTGTTAAAAAAATCTGCACAAACATCTGGAAATTCAGCTCCTTTAATAAAGAAATAACTAACAAACATTTATCTGATTAGATAAAACAAATAACTGAACATTGTCTCATTCTCAGTTCCAAAATCGGTCAAATATTTTATTTTATTTAGTGACGGAAAAAATAATTCGATGCACTTTTTACAAAATGTTTAGTAAAACAAACACTGAAGCTGAAAGGAAGCGGAGGCTGAAACCTACAGGACACGTCTCAAACTTGTGAGGATCAACTCGTGGCTCCTCCTCACCACCTCCAGGTGTTTCCAGTTTATAATCAGAACTCAGTGCTGGATCAGAACCCGTATCCCACAGGTGATCACACTCTTTGGACTTTCTGTTTTCATACTCAACTCATTGTGTTCTTCTCTGTAGTTTTACCTCAGACCTCCTGAGAGTCTTCCTGGATTGACTGATGTCTGGAACCTTCTCTGTGGGAACCTCCACCCTGAGGTAACACGCTTACGTGCCTGACCCACTCTCCAGCATTTCTCCAACAACCCTATCTGGAGTCTTCTGTTTCCTCCTGGAAATCTGCAATAAAACACAGACTTTGAACCCACTCCAGTTTGACCCCCAGCCGTAAACCCTTACTTGTAAAAATTGATAATAAACTTTTAAACATCTCTCCTTTGTGTCGATTCCTCGGGTCAGTAACTTCGGAGTGTAATGCCGCGTTAAATGACAAAAGTAACTTTCAGCTCTGATGGTGAAAGTCACTGGTTTGGTTCTGTGACCCAGTTTGAGGTAACGCGTCTAGTAGTCATTGATTTCCATTCAGTCTGTATCGGTCTCAGTGTTTTTAAGGGAAGGGAAGTTTGGAGATTGTCATCATTGTATGTTCCCAAACAATGGTGAAATGAGTTCTCTGCATTTAACCCATCACACCTGGAATACACCCAGGTGGAGCAGTGGGCAGCTATGTAAGCGTCCGGGGAGCAGTTGGGGATTAGGTGTTTTGCTCAGAGACACCACGACATGTGGGAATGGCTGGGAGTCGAACCACGACTTTCTGGTCCCAAGTCGTACCTCTACACCATCTCGGCCCCCACACACCGACACACACATTAAAACACTGACACACATCAATGAAGATGAGCGGGACCACCCCACATTGGAACTAATGTTCCGAGATGAACGGGTTCTAAACCTGAATGTTTCAAATAAATCCACCAAGTTATAAACTAAAGGAGGCGCTGATCCATGACACTAATCAACAAAAATGATTTTTGTTTGGTAACAATTTTAACACAAAAATTACAGATACAGTAAATTGCTTTTACAACAATAATAAATAATGGTATTTTCTTTAAATTTAGAA